CAGTACCACATGCCCCAGGTGTATATTTAACAACAAAAACATTTCATTTTATGGTACATCTGTTTAGTAATAAATCACAGATGATGTCAAAATGTGGGAAGAACCAAGAAAAGTGGCACACCTATGGCAACAAAGAATTTATTTGTTTCATATCATTTAAAAAACAAAATGTTGTTGATGGTGACATCTATCTGCATGTCTATCCTCCAACAGATCATTCATGTAGGTAAACACAAATCAAAATGTCTGAGTGTATAATTCAACTTATCACATCACATCTGATGATGAAAAATGATGTGAGCTATCACTTAGAGTCAGATTTGTGTCTATGTTCAATTTCTAAACAAAAGAATGAATACTCAAGATCAGTGGATTAAGGCAGATTGTACATTTGGGTATGTATTTACTTGATACAATATATATATATATATATATATATATATTAAACCTATATAAAGGAAAACTCAGATTCAAAGAAAATGCAGAAAATACTTTTAGATCAGATGTTCTCATAGCAACCAACAAATTGCAAGACACAAATATCACTTACATCCCACTCCACCAACAATAAGAACCTCACCGGACCCACAGTGAGCCATTGCTCTTTCTGAAAAATTAAAAGTTATAAAACAGGCAAACTATGCTTTACTGACTTAAATTCTGAGAGAAATGCCATGTTCATTACTAAACTAATAACAAATTGCCAAGTCTTAATAACATAGCTTCTTCATGGTTCCTTCTTCTTAGGCTTAACTTTTGATAGTCAGTTGTTTAAGATCTCTGTTTCCTTTAATCTTTGTCACATTTCAGTCTCTCTCTACTATAAATTACCAAATCGAATTAAACTAATACTTTATGGTTTCTCATAAATCGAAATGAAAGGTAATTGTCTATTAAGTAACAGGTGGAGTGAATGATTTAAAATCACTTGGACATAGACTGAGGAGGAATCAATGCATTTGCGTCTTCTCTGAATCTCAACTTATTCTTTTTATGCCAAAACATAAATACTATTAATTAACAATCAATCGTAAAGTATAAATTCACCTGTTGTTTCAATGAGCATGGCAAAAACTGTTTCCTGAGGAAAAAATGAGTTAACACTAAGAATACTCTCATATAACTCTCTTACATGAATGTGTTTTTGATAAATCATCATCAACTTTCCAGTGTTTTCTTGAAAAGGCCAAGAATTGACTAGCATCTAGTTTCTCCTTACAATATCACCCCTGACTTGAGAATTAAGGTTTCAAGAATAAAGGAAATGATCACCAACTAAAGCTCTTGATTGATGCACAAATTCTCCTTAAATTTCTGCATCTTAGAAAATGTAGAGAGAACAGTAAGGAGAAGAGGTATACTAATGTTAGGGTGTAAAGGGTTAAAAACGTAAAATACACTGTGACACTCCTGTCATGTATTGAAAGAACTGATGCAGGCTGAATATCCTGTTCTAAGCATTTCGTTGAGTTAAAACAACTTCTAATCCCAACTTAGTGTTGTTACTTGTGTTGCTAGGCCTCACTGTCAGTTTATCTCCCTTACCTGAAGAGAGAAGCACAAATCCTCTGGTGTACATTCTCCTGATTCAAGTAATTTGGGTGCCATACTCTAACACAAAACACAAAAAAGTATCACTGACAGTCACAGTTAAGTTAGCATTCAGACAGTATCTCTAATAAGATCAATATCCCTCAACAAGTTAAGAAAATTGATGAATAGCAGTTAGTGAGAAACAGACTTGAAATTAAACGCAACATTCATAAAAAAAGACGTACTTCAATGTATGATAAAATTCCTGAAAATGATACATCCATTCCCTTCACTGTGTAAGGTAATTCAATAAGCTTTTTTCCCCTGAATAAAAGAATTGAGCTTAACATTACTATCAAGGGTCTAAAACAAAGGTGAAAACAACTTAAACAAGTTTTAAAAAAAACTCATATTGAACTGACATTCATTGTAAACTTCAACACATACATCTTCTGCTTCTGTACTTCAAGTTTCTATAAATCAAGGTTCACCTCTTTGCCATTTGTTCTATGTTGTATCCTGGGCTTGGATCATTTGAAAGCTGAAACGTAAGATGAATAATTTTTCTAACTCAATGATGACACACACTGGTTTTGGACTATTTAATTTCTAATCATGGCCATGATCAACCTTGGATAATAACTGATTTATAGTATGGCATTTAATTTTTATATGATGTGATGCTCTTAAAGACTTAATTATTGATTCCACTGCTGTTAAATTAAAACTGACCAAAAAGTGATTTTCCTTCTAACTGTACGGTAAAGTTCCTTGAGAGTTATGAAATACGTAAACTAGCCACACAATTTTTTATTCCTGCAGAATCAAAGCAGAATATGTTGTACAGGCAAGATCACAGGAGTCCTAAGCTCACAACTTGAGAAAAAGCAAATTATTAATTTGTGAAGCATCCCTGTATCCAGTCTGGCCATGAAGAGCATAGCCAGAGAGAAGCGAACTTGGAAATACTGGTAGAAAACTATTGTTTTCAGCATAATGCATGGGGAGTTTTGGTATTGAGACATGTCCCAGGGTGTAATAATCTTATATTGTAAACTTTGGGGGAGAAAAATGCTAATCGGGAGGATTTTCGGGATGCAAACCACCTCCATGTGGACAACGGTTGAAATTGTAGTGTGCAGCCTTGACTTTGTCTTTTAACAGGAATAGTGATGGGAAAGTAAGCTTAAAATGGCAGAGAATACCAGAAACCACAATGGACACATACAATTCCTTATTATGTGTTCAAATTCTCAACGGTTCCTCTCTTAACTTAACACCACCTCGCTCAATGTGTCACCCTTTCATGAATTTTAAAATTCATGAAAAAATTGTTTGCTTTCTCTCAAGAAGTGAGCTTGGGGTGCCTGTGGCAAGAGGAGCTTGGATAGTCACTTAGAATACAGAATTCACTACATCTTTCCTACACTTGAAACCAGCCATACAATGACAAAATTTTTACCTTAAGGACTCTTGCAAATCTATCCAAACAGTTCCCAACAGCAATATCAATGGTTTCTCCAAAAATACGATATCGTCGCTCCAAGTAAGCAATCACTTGAGTGTTTCCACCACTGACATAAAGAACAGTAGGATTGACCGCACCTGTTACCAGCCGTCCCATCTCAATGTGCCCTATGCAATGGTTAACAGCCACCATAGGCTTTCTCCAAAGTTGGGCAACTGTTCTTGCAACAACTGCTACAGACACCAAAGGTGCACCCATGCCTGGACCTTAAATGAACACCAAATGATCAACATTAACCCTTTCCAACCTACCATCAGTATGTATATTCTCCATATTGTTCTTCTCACACTTTCAAACATGCAGACAAGGAAAATTTGCTTTACAATCAAAAGCTTCTTGAGTCGGTGATCTTTTCCTTTATTCTTGTGACATTACTGAGTGATTCAAGAGTGATATTGAAATAAGAAGCTGGTCAATCTTAGGGGTCAAACAGTCAATAAAATTTAATCTAACTAAAACTATATTATGAGCTAGAAATTTCTATTACATGATAGTTGAAGAGAGTAAAGTATAAAAATCAATAGAAAATGATAATTGATTTTGTCTAAATCTAATATTTGTCCAACTTTTGTTTCTGTTTACAACCTCACACTTTTAGGCTACTCACTCCGCTGACTAAGCCAATCAGCTTAGAGTTAGAGCATTTGAGTTAGATTTCTTACTACGTTTCCATATTTACTAAAGAAGACCTTCGTTAACTCTGGTCAAGACTTCTACTTCGACTCCGTATGATGATCTTCTTTAAGAATATTTAGGGCAACATATTTATGACAGCTCACCTTTAGTGTAACAGACACAATCTATGTCCTGAGGTTTGATGTTGGCCTCTTTTAAAGATCTAAATGTAAAACACAACCTTAGCTATAGAGCAGGACCTACTGAACTCTTAACTACAAACTGCATGTTTTAGTGACCAATTCTCTGTACCTTCTTAATATATCAATGATATTTTCTCGGTGATGCTTCGCCGTGTCTCTTGGTAAGAACCCTAAATTGAGATATAGAGTAGCTGAGGTCGGATAAAGGAAGAACAAACGATAAAAGTAAAACTTTACCGTGTGCTCGGTTCATGCAGACCTACCTTGTCCAGGTGGAGTGATGTAAGTTGTTCGTACATTCGAAAGAACAACGCCATCTCTTACAATACCAATGCCTAGCTTATTTGCACTCCCTTCGAACCCAATAGCTATCGTCATGATGGTACTATCACTATCTACTATACCCTCACAGCTTCATCTGTCCCCAAATCGCCATCTTGGCGATCTTGCTTTTTAGTACCCAGTACTTTTATACCCAGATAGTTTTTACCCAGATAGTATCCAGTCTTCTTTCCTTTTTTTTTAACATCAGCGGAAAGATTATCGGTGTAGTGGTGTACGTATGTGGGTGGGTGGGGTGGTCGGGGATGCTTAATTGTTCTGTGAATTATTGCCTTGTAAAATACTTCCAAACCTCTCTTGAAAACGACCCTTGCTTCACTAATAATAATGTCTAATTTCTCTGGGGGACAAGTGAGGAGTGTATAAATTTGTAAATTTTACTTGTTGTGACAAAATCAAATGAGGAAAGGAGCCCATTATTAAGTCATGGGCTCCTGACAAGGAGCAAAAAAAGTAATGTCATTTCTTTCATCTACCATTCTCTAGATAAGCTATCTTTCCACATTTTTATTTGCAATAGATTTTTCCTTTCTGAACATAAAGTCAAGGTTGTTGAATTGCGTCCAATAAGTACCCGAGCTTATTACTAACCCCATAAATACCAGGTGACAGAGAGTACATTTTGAACCACCCACCCCCTTCCCCTTCAAATGGGATATCAATTGAACAAAATCCACTGCATTTTGCCAGGTTGTCCTGACAGCTCACTGGTAACAAATAATTACCTCAAGGAGGTGGAGGGAGCTCTGGCTCAAGAAATTTTCTGGTTAGCACTTCAGTAAGGAAGGAAAACTCTGTTTATTAATGTAGAAGACAAGAAAAAGAATAAGATACTGTACAGAAGGCTTTTTAAAAAATAAACATTTTTATTCTTGATACATTAAAAAATGCATTCTTGATCCTTCCTAGTCTGTAAGGGAGGTCTCACTAACACTGTGGCACATTAGTTCCAAAGCCACTAGATATAGACCAGTGCATATGGTGGACCACGCCCCTAAGTTGGCTCATTTCTTCAAGGTATGCCTAACAAGTCAGCTCATACTTTGCAGCTTTGAAGGGTAACATTTGAAAGAACAACTATGATAATCAATTATAATAATTATATGCATGAAGTCTCTTGAGATAGATACTCGCTTAAACCCTTCCTTGATATGCAAACAGACCAGTGTTGATAAGAGTTGGTGAAGATACCATGAAAGGAAAGGATAACATTATCGGACCGTCCCTCAGGCAGTGGTTTCTTGCATTTCAGTTCTTCATCATCATCACTGGAAGGGACACATTTCACTATCCAGCTCAAGACTGTATTCAGGATATTTTCTGACTTCTATTGTCTTGGACAACTATGTCACACACCAAAGGTGAGGTGACATCTCAATCTCCATGGGTGGGTCTCACTGCTTAATTGAAACCAGCGCGCTCCTTGACACAATTGACTTTTAAGGTGGCCCTTCATCTATAATAGGAAACCAACCTTGTCTTTATTTTTACTTGTTTCAACTTCCTCTTTTTCAAGGACTTTCAGAAGTGCTTTGTTCAATGATTTTCCAACAGAACTTGCTGTCTGAAAAGAAAAAACAGTGCTATCAGATAACATAATGTGGTTTTTAAAATAAAACCACTCTTTTCTTAATAGTATGTATTTATTATCTCAATCATAGGTTAAAAAGGTGTTATCAGGACAGGATTAAGAATAATCACTGAAGACAATGAACTTGAGAATGCTAATCATTCCCTTCTTGCTGGTTAGTTACTGATCAAACTCTAATTAAAATCTCTACTGGATTTCTAAGGAACATATGATACAATGGAAGAACTGAAAAAGTTAACCACAAACAACTCAGACATAATACATTGCACCTGTTGTTATACAATCACAAATGTGATAGATAGGGTGCACACACAAAAAATGAGTGCAATGTTTCTTATTACATAACTTAGTTGTCTTGGATAACTGCATTAATTGGCATTAATCATTAACTACTAATCATTAATGTATATGATTTAAATGTCTTTTCTGCATTATGTGGTTCAATGTCACCTAGTCAGGGGAAGAGTAAGTAGGTTAGCAGGAGTGTAGGTATAAGAATGAATAAATAGTGTAACTAATGCTGCAACAAAAGAGAAGAACCTTCATTACCTCAGTCATCTCAAAAATAGAGTCTGGATCCAGAGCACCTTGGCCAACTTTCTGCATTGCACAGATATTGTTGTCACCATTCACTGACACTAGTAACTGAGCAAGACTACAAGCTTCCTCTTGAAGACTGGCATCCACAACATGACGATGACCAATCTAAAATGTTTTAAAATCAAATTTAAATCCCAAAAAAGCCTTCCCAAAGGCATCTTATATGGATAATGAACAAGACAGGCTTAGACCTTATTCATTGATCCCAAAAATGAGCATTCTATCAAAGCAAAGATTTGTGTAAGCTGACCCAAGTACATAATTTTCTTATGCAAATGACTTGAACCTCATCCTCTTTTCTGTAAAATTTGATTGGAAATTAATAAAATGTGTGTGTGTTTCAAAAATTGTTTCAACTGTATCTTCATGCACAGTGTTTGAGATCTGACAGTTGATTACAAGGTTGACAAACACACTTGCTGGTTGGAAAATAAATTCAAATTTCTTCACACCAATGTTGCAGGTTTCTATACCTTACTCATAGTGACTGTTACTGGGATAGAATTGACATCCAGTCTTCTACAGTCATGTGGATCATCTGATATTTCAAGTTCTTCACCTCCTTCTTCCATAGATACTGAAACATTTGGAATTCTGAAAAAATTGAGTTAAATTTCAGATATTCACTATTCATTACAAAATTATCAATAATCAAACCAAAGGAAGACATATTTATCTACGATACATTGGCAAGGTAGGACTAGAGAAGCACCTTTGCAACAATACTAAGGTAACATGACAATAAAAATGATAATGATGATGATGATGATGATGAAAACAAATGATGAAGTTTGTCATTCTAACAGAATTGTACATCATATCTTACCTGGTGTTATGAAGAGCTGCCTTTACTGCCAAAGACACACAATCAAACAGATTCCCACCACATTCTAACACCTACAAGATAAACACTTTCTTATTCAACAAGTTTTAGACTTTATAGAGGGCTATCTCCCATCCTTCTGTATTACTGACAACAGAAAAAAAGTTGATCAAGTTAAAGTACACAAGTTTCTTTGGCTGAGAGGTGTTGTGAGGTTCAAGTAATGTTCTGGCCGAACTGGGCTTGATCACCAACTAAAAGAGCAGGATCTCTTCTAAAGTAATTCTGAAAATGTGATGTTTTAATTGTTAGGATTTAATCACAACAAAGTGCTCAAACAAATGGCCAATATTCATGCATTAACCTTTGAAAATAGCTTTTTCAGTAATAATAACTCTGCCTTGATCAACTTACAGTAAAAAAATCAATAATTTCAGAAAGGAACTTTTGAAGAGGAGCAAACACCAAACTGGCGTGAATGGCAGATACATGAAGCCTTGTGCAGACATTTTACAGAAAATCGACGACAAAACTTTATCGTACCAGAGCATCAATATATAACACCCAGCACTGCTTTCCAGGTAGGATGCACAATGACTCTAGATCAATGGCAGACTTGTGGTTATAAGCCTTCTCTAAACTCTTTGCCAGCATTGCTCCCAGTTCATCTCCTCCGCGACCTTCAAATTCAGGAGAAGCATTTGCAGAGCTAAAAAAATTAAAAAATAAAAAATAAAAAAGCAAAACAAAACAAAAAAGTGATAAAACTCTAGCACATGTAAGCAACCTTTTAAAATCCAATTTCTCTTCTCCCAATATGATAAAAATACTAGCAATGTAAATTGCAACTAGAGTAACATGTTTTGTAGATTAATACACATCTGTACAAAAAAATCTGTGAGTAAAATTATCTTTGAAAAAATTTAGTGGAGTTGCAAAACGAAAAATACTCAAAATAGAATGCAAAACCCTAGACAATAAACAAGAATAAAATTACTTACCAGTCAACAAAGAACTCAATATATCCATAGTTTGGTTTCTCCAGATGAGGTTCTCCTATTTCTGCTTTTACTCCGACCAAGATGTCTGTTGTAGACTATGAATTGAAAAAGAAACCATGAGAACTAAAAAAAAAATTCGTCAATTACTCAAATCATGCATAAGTATTTAAAATCGTAAAAATCATTTACTTTGCAGTTGTATTGATAATTATTCATAACTATTTCTAATTCATTCATAACATAACTATTCATAATTATTCATTGTTTACGCTTTCTTCCCGATAACCTCTCTCGAAACAGCTGTATACACTATGTATTGAGTTGATGTTTTGCAAATAAATTGGCTTTACCGCCTAGAAGAAGAAAGATGTGAGTTGTATGTATATTAGGACCTGAAACATTAACGAGAACTTATCATTAAAAAAAAAAAAAAGAAAAGCTTCCCAAATTTAAAACAACTCTCAGATCCCCGCGACGCGTTTATATTAATAAACATGCCTATCTGTTATGTTAAAAAAAAGTTTGACATAGGCTACAAAAAAACCAATGTCATCGAATCGTCTAGAACTTAGCCACGGAAAAAGTTCAGGTGGTCTTGCATTTACTCAAAGTTGATTGACACTCGATAAGAAGTTACGATTAGAACTGTATCCTATTCCTGTTTTATATCATACCAAACGAAGTCGTGCAGATCCGCTGGTGTTTGACACGATCCCAGTTTCCACCTCAAAATGTCTATAATCGTGACAAGACCTTCCATCAGATCGGAAATCTTGCTCTACTCCATTCACGATAAAAGTTCGTTCGAAGGAAGAAAGCATGGCATCCGCCATTTTGTAAACCTTGAATTACGTGACGTACCAATTGTTTTGATTGTGTCCGCTGACCTCAGCCATCGGGTCTGTTTATACTGCTCTGAAAAGCGGAAACTGTTGGTTGAGTTTGCAGCAGTAAATTACTGTAAAGAACCTAATTTTCAGCCTCTGAGGAGGAAATGGCTACAGGGGGATATCATGGAAAACCACTGAATACGGAAGAGGACTTACAGTGCCCTGTCTGTTTGGAAATTTTCGAAAATCCCATCTCTATTCCTTGCGGACACACGTAAGTAAAGTTAAATTTAATCAGAAACGAAGTGTACTTTTTAATGGCCTAAATTTGCTCTTAACGGAAGTATCTTTTCATTTCTCTAGTTTGCATATATTCCTCTTAAACGTCTGTGACTTAGATCTGACGATTTCGTTCGTTAAGTTTTGCGAGTGCACGAATGCAAGCAAATATACGAGACTTATTCAAACCGGAAGTGAAGTAAGCCGGAATTGTTTGTCAAATTTCCTTGTTTACAGGATGAGAGAGGATTATCCTTTTCCAGACTTCCCATTTTAAAAATGTTTCATCACTATCACAGAGCAACTGTCGCTAGAATGGTGCAGGAGAAAGGTTGTCAGAGGCCATTATTTTCAAAACACTGGAAAGTGAAATTCTAAGAAAGAAGTAATTGTCTATAAATCTTTTTTCCCACAATATATCCAATCTTGGGCAAGGACTCCAAAACGTCAGATTTTTACATCATATTTCAGACCAAAAGTGTTGAAATCCCTCTTATCATAGCTGCTTATACCTCTGAAGGTTATGGGCCTGGGGTAAACTTAGTTTGGTGCCCTTGTGATATTGCAGCTAGGAAAGCCCTTTGGAGGGAATTGTCTTGTCCAAGGATACAGCAGAGCTTGCTAAACAAACTTTAGACCTAAAGCCCAGTGTGCTAACAGAGGCTTAATGTCTCTCACATGAATATAAAGGATAACAACATATCTTGTGATTTGATTACTTACAGTTATGGTAATTTTGACATGGACTGTAAAGTGCTCCTTTATGAGGATTTTACCTTTCCTGTGATTTCAGTTTTTGCAGTGATTGCTTGAGTTCTGTTGAAAATCTTTCTGGATCATCCACATGTCCTGTTTGTCGGAATAATTTCAACTTTAATGAGAAAAGAAGAGCAAGAGACATTGACCGGCAGATTCGTCACAGTACAGGAACCTGTTCTAGTTGTAACAGACAGGTACTTACTTCTGCTTTTTTTCAGTGAGATCTAAGGGCCAAGGGATGGGGACATAGCATTTTTAGTAGGAGGAAAGGGGGTGGGGTGTATCCACAGCAGACTGATGATTAATTAAAGAATGTTGAATGTTACATTTCCCTCCTGCTTCTTACTCTCATTAAAGTTGACTTGTTAACTTCTCTGCCCTTTCTTCTCCAGTCTACCTCTTTTACTCCTTCACTGGAAACAGGGAGTTTTACCAAATTAAAGTTATGAATAAAGGTGCTTCAAATGATTATTGTTCATGAAGACCTCACTGGATGAAAATTTTGTAAAATCAACATCAGCAAACATTCATTTGTCTACATCAATGTGATCAACCTTCACTTTTTGAATTAATATGAATTTAAATTTCATTCATGCACACCATGAAAGTAAAGCCACTGATTTATTAAGGTAAAATTGGGACCAAAATTAACCATTCCCCACTAGTATTTCAATAGATAACATGCAGTACCTGGGGATTTGAGGTCATCAGTCCATTAACTGTCACACCTTTGATGTTGTAGGTTTTTTTGTGCTAGTGATTGACAATTCCATGGAATTTGAATGAATTTCAAACCTGATATCAACAAACAATCATGGAGTGTGATCTGCATAATCTGGAATTAAAAATGAGCATTGTTTTGGGTGGTGGCAACATTCTGCTGGCCCTCTGCTGGACAATCACACAACACAACTGATTAAAATTAATTTTCATAGTGAAAATTATGAATAGAAATTAGGTAATAGCTCACTTCTTTTGTTACTCTTTATCACAGTTTCCTATGTCAAGATTAAGAGAGCACAGATCATCCTGTGAGACAGTTTCTCCACTACCTTTTGTCCCTGTTGCTCGTACCTCACAACCTAGGCCAGAGTAAGTTTTATTTTACTGGAACATTATTGTTGCCTTAATTATGTGAACAGACATTTGGGGTAGCAAGGTTACCATGTTGCTAGAATAAGTGATTACTTTTACTGTCACCAACAACACTGTACATTTGATTTGCTTTCTAGGCTTAAAAATCGATCAACATTCAGTTGTCCCTTTTGCTCCCAAAGTAACTTGGACAGTAAAGCAATGTTAAAGCATGTGAACAATTATCACAAAAATGAGAGGCAATCTGTGGTAAGTTGAAGAATAATTTGAATAGTTTATGTAAATGGAAAAGGGAAACAAGGCTCCACTTTCCTAACCAATTAGATTAACCCTTTAACTCCTATGAGTGACTAAGACAGAATTTCTCCTTACAATATCAATACAATATCAACCAGATAAGTGATGAGTATAAAGAAAAATATCAATTTGAGGATAGCTAGTTGATCCAATACTAAATTCTCTGAACTAACATTATAAGAATTGTATGGTTGACAGTAAGGAGAATGACAAATTTGATCTGGAAGTTAAAGGTTAAAACTAAAACCAACTACGACTTGGTCACTGTGTTTTGCTGCACCTCAGGGGGTTTGCTTGTTTTACTATGAGTTCTCTTTGGCTCATTGCGATATCTTCCTTTGTTCTGATTAGCTGTTGCGACTTTGGTGTTGGTTTTACAAAACTCAGACTAAAAGTGCTCTAAAATAATTGATGTTTTGATTCGTTGCAAAATAGTCTTAGTAGGGATGAGCTCATGTGGCTGGTTTGTATAGGGGGGAAGAGGGAAGGGGTAGGTAAGAGTTAATTGTTAATCATTGACAACGAAGCATGGCAGTGTTGGGTTGTGTAACATACTGAAAAATAGATTGAATCCTTTTGTTTTATTTAGGTTTGTCCAATCTGTGCCAGCATGCCGTGGGGAAATCCCAATCAGAAGAGTGGTGATTTTATTCAACATCTTAATTTGCGGCATAAATTTGAATATGATACATATGTGGTGAGTCAGTTTTGTGGGTTTAAAAAATTATGATCATTAAAGACTAAGAAGTTAATTTTTCTTTGAATTCCTGTGCCTATCTTTGCCAATTTTCAATGTGTTGAGTGGATCTTTAAGTTTTTTTCCACTGTGACAATTACTGAACATATATCTAATGAATATTCTGGTTGCCTGTTGAAGAAAACACTTGCTTAGTAAGTGCAAAGGCAATATATTTGTCACTATGGCCCTAAAGTTATGACGTTTGACCTTGCCCTGGCAATACAGCCACCTCGTTAATACACTCAGTTTTGTCCATTTGTGAGTGTATGAACAGGGTTCCACTGTAACCCTTGAACCTCTGACTGACATTCTTTACTGGGAATAAAAATATTGAACCCCACAACAATTTATTGAGGTCTGCAGTTCAAGCTCGTAGGTGAACAGTAAAAAATTTAAATCATTCTCATCTCACAGGACTTTAACAATGACGAAGATGCAATTCTACAGCAAGTTTTGGCTCAGTCAGTTCGAGACAGATGATAACTTTTAATTAATGATTTTCTTCCTTAAGTTCTTACTTTCAATGGTGCCCTTATCCTTCAATTGTTTTTTAATTAATAAGGTATTAAGATGGAGTTGAGAACCACCTAAAAAACATTTCACCGTATACTGTGATCATCCAGGTATGAGTGGTTAGTAGTTCTGAGAAAGACAAGAAGAAACAGTCAACTCTGTTTGAAAACTTCTGCAAAGTTGACAAAATATCAGTAACTATGATCAACACAATCTGTCTCAGAGCTATTCTCACCAAGATTATCAGACTACATGATCATCTTTCTTGTTACTATAATTGCAACCTAGGAATATTACAGATTCCATGTTGTTGTGCATCTGTTCAGTGATAGACCACATATGATGTCAAATGTGGTAACAAGAAAAAATGGCACACAAGGCACAGCCAAGTGTCACTGAATGATGTTCCTACCATATTTTGATGTTATGTGTGATCTTTTACTGAACAAATCCACAGCAACATGGAATATATTTGTTTTGTATGATAAAAAGTCAAAAGTAAATGTTGTCAGTAGTGAATCATCTAATTATGTGTCTGTCCTCTGGTGGATCAAATGTAGGAACCAATCAAAATACATGTATAATTTAACCTATTATATATATAACTGTGTTCAATGTTGAAGAAATCTTTAAAACACAGTCAACTTTCTGTTAACAGATACTCATGTAAGCAGACAGTTCTACTTATGGACACTTTTTAAACTTTCCTTTTTGCCTCCCAGTCAAACTCTGTATTTATACATTCCCATAAGCGGACACTCCCTCATAGGTGGACATACACACTTAAAGAATTGAAAATTGGATTTTCTTTTGTTTACACTCTCTTGTAAGGGGATTCTCCATGGATAATAATTGACTCTTAGCAATATGATTTGTCTTGACTTTGCAAATCAACAAAAATATGAACTTTGACTCAGCAATATAGCATCAGGGTCAGTTTTATAAAATCTTCATTTGTGCACAGGAAAGCAAGCAAGCTCTCCTGTTAACCAACATCCACCCTCTTTTCTTTGGAGTTCACTTATGGGAATAATTCTTGTAGGCAGACAGTTCTATCAATGAATACTTTTCCTAATTCCCTGAGGGTGTCTGCCTTGAGAGTTGAATTTCTTTTGACATTCAACTATGCCATCAGCATACATGTGCTGGTTTCACACTTGGTGTATTGAAAAGGAATATTTGAGAATGACAGGAAACAGGATTAAACACAATGGTTGGTCTGTGACACATGTTAAAATGTAACATGTTAAAAAAAAACAAAAACAAAAAACAAAGAAACCACAAAACTCCGTAAGTCTCTCAATAGGTTGTTTTAGTAGAGATTACTGGTAGTATCCTTTAGATCTGCTCATAAATTGCACCTGTTAAAAGATAATAAGTATCTATTAAAAAAAAAAGTTGACATCTACTTAAGCAGATCCTCTATTTAACCACAAATGATACATGTAAATTTTTTGGTGGTTGTTAGCTGATACTGAATGGGCTATTAACAAGTTAAGGCGGGAATGTTTATAGAAATACTGGAACTGTTAATTACAAACTAACATCATCCGACTTGATTTAATTTCCAGCTATTTAGCTAACCAATGAGCAGCATGAAATATTTTTTTCTTCCTGGATGTTATTAGTTCTTTTAACCTTATTTATAATTCATCATCCGGAGTAATTACATAACAATTCTGCTCTTTAACCCTATAACTCCAGAAGTGATTAACATGTTACTTTTCCCTCTATATCCATACATTATCCAGCAAACAGGTAATGGGAATACTCCAACTTATGAGGTAGAGGTTGTTATCTTGATCTAACATCAACTTCTTGTAACTAATTTACAAGGAAATGTGTAGAAGCTAGAGAGGAAAATTAACAACCAGATTTTGAGAGTTTAAGGGTTAAGAGCAGAGAGTGAATTATTTGTTACAATACTATTGACTTGTAAATTCTCTTGCTTGTGACCTTGAGCGTTTCCTATGGCGTTTTGTTGGTGCTGTAGTTGTTATTTTAGGGAAGGAAAGACCATACTGGGAACACAGTTGTTTGAGAGCTTTCTCATAGGCACTGTTCAGTCTTGCAGCTTGTTGAAGGGCATATTTTAAGTCTTCTACTTCTTCAAAGAATCCCTGAAGAAAATCACAGAGAATACACAAAATTAATTTTTTTACTCAGACAGTGAAAAAAAGATGCTTGGGAAAAGGATACCTCCAAACAGGAGTTAGACCTAGGAATTACAAATTCATTCTTCCAAAGATCTTTTATTGACATACAAGGAGAGGTGCTAGAGAAATTTAGAATGTAGGGGGGACTGATTGTTTAGTAGCTCGTTGGCACAAGCAAACTCTTTTAGAATTGTGTCCCATGTAATATTGCATTAATAGGAGTTATTGAAAAAGAATCATGTAACATAGTATTTCACCAAACACAATCCTGATGATTCAAGATATGAAAAGACTTGAAGAAGAAATTCTACGCAATGAAAGCATTGTGCAAAGTTTTGACACACAAGAGTGGAAGGCTGTGCCCTCCCCTCCTCTCTATGTTTTTTTAAGGGGGGGGGGGTTTGTGCTCCCCTGCTACGACAAGAAAAATTTGCTTTGACTTGCTATTAAAGTTCCAGTATTTCACTAACCCGGTCCAACATCTTGAGCTCATCTGAAAAGACCAATGTGGAGTGTTTGACCCCATGGTTAAAATACAAACATAGGAAAAAATGTGTATTAAATTATATCATCTGATACAAATATGGTTTATGACTAACATACACATTCCATTACATGTAAGTATGCTGAAATTAGAGGATAGAGACACAACCAAGTGGAGTGTAACACCTGACAAGTGAAGTCTTGAACTGGGTCATCATGTATGGGCTTTTACATCAAAGGAATATAGACACAGATTGATTTGAAGTTTTACAAATCTTTGCTGTTCATTTTTCTCACATTTAATATTTTGTTCTAACAAGTTAACCATAATTTCAGGGTTTTAAACCTAGTGAAAAGTTCTCTAGATTTACTCACTTGTAAAATCAAACAAACATAAGTGTTCCCGAGCAGACCAATTTGCTTTCCCTGTGAGCACATCTTGTCACTAAAGGTTAATATTTACTTAAGACTGCTTGGCTGTACCCCAAAAGTCCCAAGATCCTAGTGTGAATTCTCCCCATGAGCTGCTACTCAATTCCTTGTAGATTAGTTACAAGAATTTGGTGTTGGATCAAGAAAACGACCTCTACCTCATAAGTTTGAACATTCTCAATGCCTGTTTGTTGGATAATGTATGGGTATTATATGAGAGAAGTTACATCACTTCAGGGATTTAAAGGATTAATTCAAAGAGATGGAAAAAAAGTTTGTTATTAATATAGTAATGAAATGAATCCCAAACCTTTAAACTTTTTTCTTTCCTTAGCAATCCTATCTCTCTCTTGTGAAACTTTACGGAGATCAGCCATTAAATCTGATTGAAACATTGATGAAATAAAAAATGATTGAGATCACTTTCCTTCTAAAGGGAGAGTAAATGGTCATAGTTTGTACCTCTCTTAGAAGGTGTTAGTCTTTCCTTAATGCCCACAGCATTAATTCTGGCCTGCAGAGCTTCATTCTCTTTGTGTAATTCATCTATTTTTCTTTTGGCATCTTGGAGTTTCTTTTCCAGATCTCTGTTTTCTAACTGTGATTAATATGTACAGTCAATTTTAGATTTTTCATCTCTGACAATGAGAAATTTATACTCACACTCAAAGTAGCAATTTGTTCCACATGGGCTGTGTTAGTCTTTAGTTCCTTCTGGTATCTCTTCATAAGATTGTTATGCATTGACAACATCCTAAAGCAAAAGACTATATTTAAGACGCAACTTTTCTTCATATGAAAGTTATAGATGATACAGAGCAGGACAATAAAGCAGAGGATTGAGCTATGTACCAACAGGTCTCTAATTTTTTAAAACAGGAGACATTTTGGACAATAAAGCAGAGAATTGAGTTATGTACCAACAGGTCTCTAATTTTCTAAAACAGGAGACATTTTGGACAATAAAGCAGAGAATTGAGCTATGTACCAACAGGTCTCTAATTTTTTAAAACAGGAGACATTTTGGACAATAAAGCAGAGAATTGAGCTATGTACCAACAGGTCTCTAATTTTTTAACACAGGAGACATTTTGGACAATAAAGCAGATAATTGAGCTATGTACCAACAGGTCTCTAATTTTTTAAAACAGGAAAAATTTTGGACAATAAAGCAGAGAATTGAGTTATGTACCAACAGGTCCCTCATTTTTTAAAACAGGAAAAATTTTGGCTTACTCTAAGCTTACTAGCACATTTCATTCACAGATCAGATTGAATCAAATTCACTCAGCAAAGTGTATCTACTTAACAGCCCTTGCCACTTGGCAACCTAAAGTTAAAAAAATATTGCTATAAAAAAATGTTTTTTGAAGCTAATGGATATTCCAAGACTCCCTACTCCAACAACCAGAGGTCATTCTTCTCCATGAGAACAGCAGGACATTATAGAGGTGTTGAAAGCAGATGCTAATTTCAGTAAACTTACTACCAAAAACAAAAAGTAATGTAAGAAGTGGCTGCAGCTTGCTACATGATTGCGAAGCACAAGTAGCCACACTTGCATGAAATTAAGTCACTACAATTTTTTCTACTTCCTGTGACAAACAGAACAGTCACAGCATGAAATGCTGCATTAACATTCAGTCAGTTTCAAAATAAAACAAATATTAATTAATAAACTGTGCCTTGTCAAAACTGAAAGATGAAGTTACAACTAACTTGGTTGTACTTTCAAATTGTTCATCTTGAGCTGGTTTCTTTTGTCTGTCGTATTGGTTTGATTTTATCGCTGATCCCCCAACACTTCTTTGTCTTTTTTCTTCAGTCTGAACTTGGACACTGTATATGGAAGGAGAAGAGGGCGAATGAACAATCTCTTCAAAAGGGTTTTAATTAAGCAGTTTGATGCAGGAGAATAAAGTAAACTTACGGTAACAAGAGAACGTTCTTGACATTGAAACGAACAAAAGAAAAAAAAAAGCCAGGCCATCAGAATTTAGCTGGAGAACTCTAAAGAGTATGGAGAGAATTCTCAAATCTATAGTGCTTCATAAACATCCAGCTTTGAGAACGTTTGCGCAACTAAATTTGGTTTGCCACATTTAAGAAATTTAATTGTTATATGAAATTATATTAAGCCTGCTCGCTGTTGCCAAAAACACTTCGATCTTTGCTTAAAAGCAAGGTTTCTTGTAAGCCCACGAAGGATACCGTCAGTGATAAACAGGTATTGCTCAAGACAGTTTGTGCGCGGATTAAGGTTCATTCCGGTGCGATAGGACCGATAAATATCTTGGCGCAAAACGTCATATTACATCATATTAACACACAACATACTCGATGAAAAGAATTCGAAGTCAAGAGTGAAAATATACAACTGGACCTACAATTTACCTTCTTGAATTAGTTTGCATAAATCTTTGGGTAGTAAACTGCTCCTTTAGATCGTTCAGCTCTCTTTCTAGCACTCCATTTCTTCTTGCAAGTTTCTTGTATTTCTTTCTAATCCGCTCATTTTCAGAAGACAGCTGAGGAAATGACCATAAGTCTAAGGTGTTTGAACAACGAAAATGAATGAATTCGATAACTGAAACTCAGCCGAAATGGCTTACATATAGGCAGTTGTGTACATCAGGCATTGACATTTTAGAACACTGCTTCACAAATTTGTGACAAGGGAAATTTTCAAACTCTGCCGCTATTGACCGTCATTATGGGAAACCGCTGACAAGGTAAGAGGAAAGCAGTGTATCCCGCGGTGTAAGAGATATCATGACTAGCGGTTTCCCCTCTGAGACTACGTTTTATCATCCAACTGGCCAATGTAGATTGAAGTTACATTTTTTTCTAGTTGTTTTTAGTGAGAGCCAGGGATATTATGATCACTTTTCGAAAGACTGACGGTAGAGCTAAGTCAAAGAGACTTGTAAAAGACCATCATTTAGAAGACGGTGTTACTTATATGAATCTGTCACTGTAAATACTATCACGCGACAGACAAATTATCTTAGAATTACACAGTTTACAAAAATAATGCGTCGAAAAATGGTTCCTTCATTATTTTTGCTCTTCTTTTTGATGATTTGGGGAGAATGTATGACAAAGGAGGAGATAGAAAATTATAGGTGAGTAAAGAAATCAAATCTGGCTAAATACTATATGATGTATGTTTCCAGCTGTTTTTAGTGCATCACGTCTTTACACGTTCGAAGATAATTCATCACGCTGAAATCACGAAAGGAGCACGAAAACTGCGATATTCCGTGAATTATTACTGGGGCTATTATATTTTATCAGATATTTAAATTGTTGATAAGTTCGATTCTCTTAAATCGCCAGAGAAAAGCCCGCAATATTTTGCAGGAAGTGATGCAGAGTATTAGCATATCTCTTGTATGTGCGACAATCATGGGAAGTTGTTTGAACCGCGTGTGCAGATAGTGGGTCATACAGGCGCGAGTTGCCCTTTGTTCCAAACATCATTACAACCCAAAATCGAGAAGAGCTCATTTAGTTATCTCTTAGATACGCGTGTTTTATTTGAGTTGTGTTCCAAGAATAATTCATTGCATCAGGAAAAGCGAGCCTGAAACTATTTTTAGTGTCAGAATTAAGTAAATGTAAAAGAAGTAAAGTAAAAGCATATCAGCTTCTGACTTTAAATTGTAGGGTATGCAACACCCCATGAATTATTTACATACTTTCTCACTGACCACATACAAAAAATTTACCAAACATAACTACTGTGCTTGGAGCATCATGGTAATTTTGAAAATAATTGTGAAGGTGAACTCTTCCTTATTTCAGGTTAAAGACAAAATCTATGTTTTATCATGGATATGACAGTTATCTCAGGCACGCTTATCCTTATGATGAATTAAAGCCTTTGTCCTGTAGTGGCCAGGACACATGGGGAAGGTAAGATTACTTTAACTCTTTAACTCCCATGAGTGTCCAAAACAGAATTTCTCCTTACAATATCAATACAACATCAAGCAGACAAGTGATGAGAA